TGTTTCAGGGCCTTCTGCAGCAAGAAAGCACCTATGAGCTATGGGAGATCTGCCGGTAGTTTAAAATTCATCCACTTGACAGGACTTTAGGAACAAACGACGTCAGGACTCAAAAGGCAGCCTGCCCGGCAGCCTTGGCCTAACCGCAGAGAGATGAAGCATTTGCGTTTCTTCCCCTCCTCTCTGCCAAGGCAACTGTACATTGTTGCTATAAATAGACGCTCTGGATCCCAGCTTCTTTTAACCTTGGAGGGAGACAACTCGGCCGCTGGACCAGCAGAAGAGGCAAAGGGCTGCTGCCACCTAGAAACGTCTCCACGCCACCAGAGTTTCCTCCAGCCCACGTGCCTGCTCAGGTACGGCTGCCTGTGTGTCGGTGGTGAAAGGACTGGCTGAGAACTCCCGGCGAACCCGGGACGCACGCGGCCGGGATGCACACCCTGCGAACACAAAAGCTGCATCAGCAGAAAAGCGCAAGTTGGAACCGCAGCCAGAAAAGCCTGCTGCTGCAGTCTGGAGGCGAGGGGGAGTTCTTGGTGCCCGCTGTTGCGATTTGGAAAGATAAAGATAGAACTACTGAATTTGGTTTCCGACCTCATGAGACTCCCTTCCAAGGTCAGCGCTTTCAGCTGCGGAGGTCGGACTGCGACTACCACCGAAGCAAGCAGTACACCTGGGTGCAGGCAGTTTTTATTACAGGGCTTTGCTCTCGTGTTCAGCTCATAACGCTTGAAGCTGTGCCAAGCTGGCCTTGTAAATGCAAGCCACGCCTATTTTCGATCTGGTAGGAGGAGATTAAAGAAAGCAAGCCCCTATCTTTTAAAAGTAACTGGCAGATCTTGCAAAACAGTCAATACTTCCCGTTCTAAGAACAAGATTTTGACAGTTTTGAGCTAAAGGATGAATTAATGCACAAGATTGAATTCTAAAATTTCAGATAATGTGGTTACAAGATACAATCACGCAGATGCCTCGCAGCAGTAGCAGGCAGCTCCAGAAGCGTGCGTTCCAAGCAAGAGCAGTGGAATGGCACAGCCATCCGAGTGTCAGCGGCGGTACCAAAGCCTAAAGGTAAGACCGCTGGACTCCCACCTCAGCAGTCCTCAGCTGCGTGGGGTACACCACCTTTCAGTGGAGATGTATCCACGTTAGAAAGAACGTGTAGAGGAACTGAGCAGAATGTGTTTGTAACTGGAAACTTACAGCATTATCTCCATGGTGCAGAGAAATAATAGTTGGGAGGTGGCAGGGCAGCGGGGAATTTGGACACCTTTCACTCCAACCATCAATAGTTAAGGAATTCCCCAAAAGATATAAACACAGGGGTAACAGGTAAGCCCTCTTCCAAGAAATAAAACTGGACAAGCAAGAGGGAAAGTAACACTCCACAGCTCTTCCTTCAAGAGATGGCTGCTGTGAAATAACATGGGTGCTGCTGCCACGTGCAACGGACAAGAGGAATATCAGGTCTGGGTGTGAGCATGCGTAAATAATTATCACCACCGGAGTTCTCATAGTACAGCTTCCATCCCCTGGAAGCACGCTATAAAAGGGACCTACGATAACAGCAACAAGAGAGCAAAAGCATTTGAAATTCTCATCCTTTAATGGTCAATGATAAGTTCTTAAGTTCTGGCTGGTTCTGTGTAATACAATTAAACAATATATTTAAATGTTTCCAAAAAAAAAAAAAAAAAAAAAAAAAACCCCCCACACCCCCCCCTCT